AAAAAGAGATGTTTTGAATTCAAAGCGAATATGTCGAAATTGTTTAACCCCAGGCCACTTTAGTAACAAATGTCATGTAGCTTCTCGCTGTCAAGTCTGCCAACAAAACCACCATACCACTGTTCATAATGAGTATTTTATAAATCATGTTTCTAATACTCTGACCCCTGAACCTTTTATACCTTCTCAAACATCCTCGTCTTCTCAAGGTATTGAAAACGTTCCCGCTCATGTCGTTGACAATAGTAAAACATATAACAGGAGGAAAAGGCCCCAAGTTCTCCTCGCTACGATGCGTGTTGTTTTAAAAACCCCTCAGGGAGAGTTTGTTTTGCGTGCTCTTCTTGATCAATGTGCTCAAGCAACCTTTATAACCAAAAAGGCTGCAGATGCCTTAAACTTATCTTATAAAAGGAACTTTGTGGAAATATGCGGTGTAGGTGGAAACCAATCTACTATTTCAAAGCAATACGTTAATTTTGCAATATTCTCAAGAATCGAAACAAATTTTAAAATAGATTGCGAGGCTTTGGTTCTTCCGAAAATAACGGCATATCAACCTATGGCTATAAACGAAACATTATTACCGGATTTAAAGAAATTTTCATTAGCTGATCCTTATTTTTCGAAACCTGATGAAATTGATCTTTTGTTAGGAGGAGATGTATACGGAGATATCATATTACCTCAGCAACAAAAATTTTAAAGTGGTTTATTCTTACAACTCACACATTTCGGTTGGATAGTTTCTGGCCCCTCACATGATAACTCATCTGAGCACATTATTACAGTAAATGTTTGTTCATTAGATAAGCAATTGCTGTCCTTTTGGGAACAAGAAGAATTGCTGGAAAAAAGAGCTTTGACAGAAGAAGAAATCCTTTGCGAACAACATTTCAAAAGCACTACTTCTCGTGATTCATCTGGGCGTTACACCGTATCACTGCCATTTAAATCATTGCTCCAGTCTTTGGTCATACGGATTATGCAGCACTTTCTCGTTTAAAGAATGTTGAGTCAAAATGTAAATTGAATAAGAACTTTGGAAAACTTTATCTAGATTTTATGAAAGTCTTTGGTCATACGGATTATGCAGCACTTTCTCGTTTAAAGAATGTTGAGTCAAAATGTAAATTGAATAAGAACTTTGGAAAACTTTATCTAGATTTTATAAAAGAGTATGAATGTCTCGGACATATGGAAAAGGTCGGTACCTATCCACGTGATTTATAAAAAAATGGTTTCTTTTTGCCTCATCATGGTGTGTTAAAAGAGAGTAGTTCTACTACTAAATTGAGGGTAGTTTTTGATGGTAGCTGTAAAAGGTCTGCTCAATCTTCCTTGAATGAGGAATTAGCACCTGGTCCTGCATTGCAAAATGATTTGCCCACAATTATAAATCGGTGGAGACGTTTTAAAATTGGGTTTCGGGCAGATTTGGAGAAGATGTTCCGACAAATACTTGTGGTACAGGAACAACGAAAGTTTCAACAAATTTTGTGGAGAAATAGTGGCTCTGAACAGATATCAATTTATAAGCTCTCAACGGTTACTTATGGTACTACACCCGCTCCTTTTCTTTCGATTAGGGTTTTACAACAACTAACGTTGGACGAAATGGAAAAATATCCGATGGCATGTAGTGTGCTCAATTCAGATACTTATGTCGATGACGTAATTTCTGGAGCTGATAGTCTGTCTGAAGCTTACCATTTACATACTCAGTTATGTAGTTAACTTAATGAAGGCAAGTTTAATTTACGTAAATGGACAACAAACTCGAAGGAATTGCTAGAATTGATTCCTGTAGACTACAGAGAAAAATCTGATATATTTGAACTAAATCAACCTAATACCGTAAAGGCTCTTGGACTCGAGTGGAACACGATAGACGACTGCTTTTCATTTAAGATCAATATTGTATCTTCAATCAGTAGTTACCAAAAGAAGTTTACTCTCAGGCTCAGCAAAACTTTATGACCCTTTAGGCTGGCTTTCCCCTACTACAATTCTTGCTAAAATTGAATTTCAAAATTTGTGGTTGCTTGGCATTGAATGGAATGATCGCTTACCTGACGCTATGGAAAAAAGATCCCAGCAAAAAATCTGAAATTTTTGGTAATAGCCAGTAGTTATTTCATACATTACTTGGTAATGAGTGTTCATTATCATCCACATTATTTTATTTAGCTGAATAGGTTATTACTGGTAAAGAACAAAACAATTTGGATTTGTTATGGCTCAATTGTCTAGGTCGTTTATTTAACAAACAGGGGGTTCGTGGTTCGAGCCCTGCTGGATACTGTTTATTTTTTTCAAAATGAAAAAAAAGCAACATGTTAATGGAGCATCGAGTAAGCGGCTGGAGTGAGAAACACAGAAAACAACTGAATGCCTGGGTTCAAATCCCGGCCGGGAATTTTTTATTTTTTGTTTTCTTCATACAAAGCCCAAAATAACTAGCTATCACATAACATATTTGTAGGTTTATTTGTAACTAGTTATTTCGCACAGTTTTTGTAATCAAATTAGTAACCATTTATTAATTTGTTTAAGGTAGGTACATATTATTTGAACCTCGTCGAACAAAAATAATTAGTTATTCACCCCAAAAGTAATTAGTTTCCACGTGATTCCAATATTACTTTCTAGATTACTAGGTAATGAACATTTTTGCTGGGATGGTTAACATACCGCGAAAATCTAAAGTTTCTTGAGAGAATTAAAATTCCTCGTTGAATCGGAACGTTTAAATGTGGTTCAATTGAAATTCATGTTTTTTCCGATTCATCTAAGTTGGCTTACGCGGCTGCTGTATACGCTAAGACTATTTCAGATTTGGGTACAAAAGTGTATTTAATACAAGCGAAAACTAAAGTAGGTCCTATAAAGCGGTTAACTATACCTCGAATGGAATTATGCTACTTTATTGGCTAAATTAGTTGACAGAATAACTTCTTCACTTGATCAAGATATTTCAAATGTTTATTATTGGACTGATAGTACAACTGTACTTTCGTGGATACGTGGTCAGTCATCTAAGTGGCCCGTATATGTTGGAAACAGAGTGGCAGAAATCCAACGCAGATGTCATGCTTCTCAATGGCGATACATAGGCTTTCCATACGTACTGTTTTCAGCAGTACGCGTACTTTTTAGCAATTGTACTTTTAACTGCATGACACCTAAAGAAGTACGCAAATGTACTTCTTTTTAGTATTTGTACTTCTTTTTGCACTTTTTTTTTGAAATATTACCATAATTTTATAGGTGTAATCATGACCATAGACAAATATTCTATAGAATCGCTATTTAAGGACTGCATAGATAATTTGAAAGTTGTTAATCTCAAGTTTCGAAGCCTTTGTCATGTATAAAATAGTGCGTTTATTAAAAATGCTTTAAAGTTATTAAATTTTGATTTAAATATCACTATAATGAAAGTTTTTAATGAATTTTCGACATAAAAAAGGACTGCAAATGTGAAGGACATGTTTGAATGTTAAAATGGTCTGCAATACTCCGGCATGTACCTATTCGATATCTTTTTCCTATCCCGCTGTGGAACGATTTTTTAAAAAAACTATACTACTGTTAATTTGTAGATCAGAACGAAAAATTTTTGAATATTTTGACAAATACGTTAAATAAATAAACGGGGTTTAGTTTTGGGGGTTGAATACTTTTATTTGCACAAAGTACAAACCTTTTGAGTTGATCTTCAGATGCACACTAAACTAGTTACAATATTACTTCTCTCTTGTAGTGGCAGAACAGATGAAACAAAAGCAACGAGTAAACTAAAAAACTTTCTATCCTCTCACTACATTCAAGGATATTTAATTAGATGCACTTAAGATACATATAAATATTAAATGAAACTTCACGTATAAACATCCCGGCCCCCTTGATATATTATCAACTTAAAACTACTTAACAATTAAAGTTTTAATAACAGAGTAATTTAAAATAGATAAGAATTCATTATATAATTAATAGGAACAATTCAGATAATTCAACATGAAAGTTATACAAATTCAAATTGTGGAAAAAGTAATGTACTTAAGTACATTCATATTATCATATTACTTATTTGCTGTTAAGATATATCAAAATGGATAAAGATAATCAATGGTACAGCTTCTTATACTCCGAATTTTCCAATAATAACCCAGCCTAAAACACTGTCCTGTGCCATTGGAGTGCCAACTGATTCTGGTTGAATACTAGATTTAATGAGACGAGGATATACGTCGGCACCCAGTACGAAATTAATATCGTCATCTTTGTAAAAGTGAGGGTCAGCGAGACGTAGGTTAGCATACAAGGAGGAAACTCGATCGTCTATTTTTTCCTTAGGCTGTTTACGTGGCAGGTCGCCGTCAATCTTAACAGTTATACGGACTATAGGGTCTTCATAAAACCGAGGTCTCAACTTAATTTTACACCACCGCTCTGTCCCATGTCCTTCTGTAGGGATTTTGTAGCGTTCGATGAGAAATTCTGCTATCGAACTGGATTCGGCGCAGGGGTTTAAAATTCCTCTGACATTGGCCCACGCATCTCCAAGTTCAATTTTCACTACGACAGTGGGTAGAAGTGTCACTGTACTTAGACCTGAAGTTGACTGGCTAGAAGATGGTTTAACAGTACATTTATTCTCTCGTAACCGTTGGTGTCGATGTAGTAGACTGTGATGGCGACCTCCACATTGCCGGCAACGATCGGAATTACGGCAGCGATTGACCAAGTGGGAGTGACCGAGGCAGTTTTCGCAATATTTGTATTTTTTAACAATCTTAAGTTTTTCTGTGACATTCATCCGTTTAAACTTAAGACATTTTCTTAGTGGGTGGTCTTTGCGGCACATATGGCAGTCATATGTGTGTGGACGGCGGTAGAATCCTCGTTGACGTTGGCTTTTGTTCCTTTCTTCTAAAGGAGATTGGCGGTGCTGACGTGGCATTTTAAAGGCTGTAAGTAGATACAAAAGAAAGGAATTAATTTTGTTCGGGGTTAGGGAGTAATACTAGTTTTACAATAGGCCTTGTTACGATGCCATTGGCAGTTCGTACTTCGGCGACTCGTATTCTACTATCAATACCGGGGATAACTTTTTCAATGCGACCAAGTCGCCATTTATTAGGGGGTAAGTTGTCTCGCCTTATAACGACAAGATCACCTATAGCATAGTCTCGCTGGGGGTATTTCCACTTAAAACGTTTGTGGAGTTCCTTTAAGTATTCTTCTTTCCATCTTGTAGCGAAATGGTGATGCAGAACTTTAAGTTTTTGCCAACGATTTACGTAAGTTAAGGAATGATCTCTTAGATCAGGCTCTGGGGGTGATAATAAAGGATCGCCTATAAGAAAATGACCTGGAGTGAGCGCACAAATGTCACCGGAGTTTTCACTCATGGGACAAAGTGGTCTTGAGTTTAGACAAGCTTCGATTCTGGCTAACAGGGTGGAAAATTCTTCGAATGTGAAACTCTGATTGTAAGAAATTCGTTTAAAATGTATTTTAAAACTTTTGACACCTGCCTCCCAGAGGCCTCCCATATGAGGCGCACCAGGTGGAATGAAGTGCCATTCTAACGAAGCGAAACTGTGTTGATCCAGCAATTTTTGACGTACTAAAGAGATGAAATGACTTTTATCAGAGTCCAGAATGTGGGAAGCCCCGACAAAGGCGGTTCCGTTATCGGAATATAATGCGTTCGGTGATCCTCGGCGAGAGAAGAACCGTGCAAATGCTGCTAGAAATGCCTGTGTAGAGATCTCACTTGTGGCTTCGAGGTGGATTGCTTTAGTAGCAAAGCATACAAATACCAACACATAGCCTTTTGTAACTTTGCAACCACGACCTGCATAAGTTTTGAGGTCAAAAGGACCTGCAAAATCGATACCTGTATTCGTAAAAGGCCGAGAAAGTGTGGTCCTTTCAGGGGGTAAAGCAGCCATTATTTGTTGACTTCTTTGGTGTTTTAGAATGACACACGTTCGACACTGTGAGAGAATGTTTTTTATCAAAACTTTTAGTCTAGGGACATAATAATAAAGCCGCATTAACTTAAATAGTAAAGAATTTTGGCCATGGAGCGAATATTCGTGAAGATAAGAGAAGAATAATCTGGTGTAACAACCATGGTATGGCAATAGAATGGGGAATCTTTCATTATAAGTTAGCGTTGGAGAATTCGATAAGCGACCATTAATACGCATGGTGCCTGTGGCGTCCAAGAAGGGGTTAAAGACTAAAATATTGCTTTTCCTCGGGATTTCATGACCTTCCAATAGTAAATTGTATTCATTCTCGAAGTACAACCTTTGGCAGGATATTACCATACGGGATTTGGCATGTTCTAGCTCTGTTCTAGTTAACTCTTCAGTTGTAACCAATTTATGACGTAATCTTCTATTACAGCTGTAGTAAAAACGAAAGATTCGACATATTACACGCATTGCTTTTGGGAAACTGGAAAAATCTTTTAGAAGATCTGTACTCCGAAACTGAGTTAAGTGGACTCGTACTGGCTTTACCTCTTCTTCGGTCGTAAACCTGGATATGGAATTGTTAGGCCATTGACTTTGAGGAAGTCTGAGCCATGATGGGCCATGCCACCATAAGTCATTAGATATGAGTTGTGAAGCTGTGAGTCCACGGGATGCCAAATCGGCGGGGTTACTTTTAGAGTCAACATGAAACCACGATTGACTGCCGACTTTTTCAATGATAGACGTCACTCGGTTTTCAACAAATGTTTTCCATCGATTAGGGGGTTTTTGTAGCCATGCCAAGACTATCGTGGAATCGGTCCACAAAAATAATCGATGGTCTCGGAGATTTAGCTCTGATTGAATAGAGTCTATCATTTTCGCCATCAATTCTGCTCCACAAAGTTCTTTTCGGGGTAATGAAATGAATTTAACTGGTGCCACTCTGGTTTTGGCTATTAAGAGGTGAGATGAAACGTATCCCTGGTTTTCGGCTCGTATATAGAGCGTTGCGGCATAGGCTTTCTCTGATGCGTCGCAGAAACCATGCAATTCTATTGAAAAAGACGGGTCGTAATCAACGAATCGAGGAATTTGTATGTGTTGGATGTTTTGATAATCGTCTAAGAACTCCTGCCACTGATGCAGAGTTGATGGCTTCAGATTTTCGTCCCAGCTGGTTTCATATCTGTTGCATGATGATCTTTGCGACTATGACTTTAGGGGAGAGCCAACCGGCGGGGTCAAATATCTTTGCAATTTCAGACAAGACTGACCTTTTAGTTATAGAATTACGATCGGGAGAGGTTTTAATTTGAAAGTAAAAATTATCTCGTCCTGCATTCCACCGTAAGCCTAGCGTTTTTGTGGTGCAAGAGTCTGACAGATTCAGGAACTCTGCATCCAAGAGGTGATTGGGAGAAAGGTCTGTGAGCAAATAGTCGTTATTTGCTGTCCATTTGCGAAGAGAGAAACCAGCAGATTCAAGCACTTGAATGAGTTCATCTCTCGCATTCATAGCAGATGATATAGTATGGGCGCCGGCTAATACGTCATCGACATACATGTGATTGCGAAGGATATCGGAGACAATAGGATTAGTCTGCTCACATGTTTTAGACAATTCTAAGAGGGTACGTATTGCCAAATAAGGGGCACAATTTACGCCAAACGTTACCGTATTTAGCTCAAAGTCTTGCAGATCTTCCTCAGGAGAATTTCGAAAAATAATTCTCTGAAATGGAATGTGAGCTGGATTTACGTGAATTTGCCGATACATCTTTTCGATGTCGGCATTAAATACGTATCTGAACATTCTCCACCTTAGCATTAGAATGGTCAAATCAGATTGTAAAACGGGCCCAGGGTAAAGGTGATCGTTGAGGCTATAACCGTTTGAAGAGGGAGTAGAAGCATTGAATACTACACGTAATTTCGTAGTAGTACTGTCAGGTTTAAGAACTGCATGGTGTGGAAAGTAATATGTGCTATTGGAATCAGATGGTGCAACTTTTCTCATTTGCTTCAGAAACAGATATTCAGTAATTACACGATCATATTCGGATTTTAAAAGGGGGTTTTTCATCAATCGGGACTCATTTCTAACAAATTGGGATACAGCAATATGCCGAAAGGAGCTTATATTAAGACTACCAGGGTACTCACGACGAAATGGAAGTGAAACTACAAAACGACCGTTTTCCGTTCGATAGGTAGTAGACTGATACACGTTCTCACAGTGAATATCTTCTTCAGATGGCCGGGGTTTGTTTGGAACTTCCTCAAGTTCCCAAAATCTTTTAAGCTGATTATTCAAGACGAGCTCATTATAAAAAGCTGAAATTGACGTTAAACTATTGTGAGTAGCGGTTCTTCCTGTGACTATCCATCCGAAGACAGTCTGTTGCGCGACTAAATCCTGATTGTGATTCCATCGTAAACCACTTCTAATAATCTTAGGGTAAACATCGCCTCCAAGTAGGAGGTCAATCTCAGAATACATATGTATATATCTATCAGCCAATTGTAAATCAGCAAATTCACCATTGTTAAAGTCAGACAATGGGTAGTGAGGGAGTTGACCAGTAAGCTTCTTAACGACTAGAGCATCTGTATGTATTTCGAAAGAGCTGTCGATAGGTGAACCGATACGGACATAACATATATGAGTGGAAGTTGCCGTCAAAGAATCATTTAAGCCGTGAACTTCAGTCTGAGATGAGCGTGTGTTTAGGGATAATTTCTTCTGAAGTTTCTTGGAAATAAAAGTTGCCTCAGAAGCGGAATCGATGAGAGCTCGAACAGTATACTTAAAATCATTTGCATAAACATCTACCAGAGCTGTACCAAGTAAAACCGTGGAGTTCGAGGTGGACTGTGTTTGAGTAGAAAATGACTGTCGCATTTGGGCTGCAGCTTCAGCAGACGTGCAAGGGCCGTTATTTAAATTCGAGGTTTGGGGAGGATTAGTAACAGGAGAACTACTAACGGTCCTATTCGATCGTAAAACCATTGTCTGTGGGATTACTTGGGGGCTTGTGACAGTAGGATTGCTAGTGTTTGTATCAGAGGGCAAAGCTGCAGTTTGGGGGATTACTTGGGGGTTAGATTTAGCTGTCCGATGAAGTAACGAATGATGCTTTCGTTTGCATAGTTGACAAACATACTGACTCCTACATTTTTTATATTCATGCGAGGTTCCAAGACAATTTACACAACGTTTCTGTTTTTGAATAATAGCATAACGTTCATCTACAGACATACCGAGAAATGACGGGCAAAGTCTAAGAGGATGCGCTGCGGAACAAATGGAACACTTTACGATTTTTTCATGAGAAACACTAGTATTATAGTTGTTGAACTTCTTTTTCTCAGGCATATTTTGTTTTTTCGAATTAGAAAATTTATTATGTTGTGCGCTATTGCACAGTGGGGCAGAATGGAAATTTTTTGGAAATAAATCTGGCATTTCTAAACGGCTGATCCGATCGGGATAAAATTTGGCGTGAGCGTAGCCAAGGAGTATTCGAGTTTAAGTTTTGAAGATGAACCCTGCAGATGCCCCAGGGACGGCGCTGTGGCGGCTCAAAGTAGGGTACCTACGACATGTAAAATTTTTAAACTCGTGCTATTTTTTTGTTTTTCACCCAAATACAAAGATTTTTATATTTTCTGAAAGCGCTCGACGAGATCTTGAAAAAACATGCTTGGACATACTACTTATCTCTTATAATATCCGAGTTATAGGCATTTAAAAATTTAGTGATACAAAATTTACCATACCTTGGTCCGCCTTTTTTTGAATACCGGGCGTAATTTTGGACCAAATGGACTCAATTTTTTCTTGTTAGTTAGACAACAAAATTTCCAATAATATACAAAAAATATCAGATCAATATCATTTACAGATCCAAAAATATACGTTTTTTAATTTAAAAATTCAAAAAATTTTAGATTCTTGCCGTTTTTTGCCAAAAATGTGTCTTAACTCTTTTATTAATAAAATAAAATTTTCTTTAAGAACATATAACAATTTTATAGTTTTCTAAAAGGTATCTTTACGCAGAACGCTTTGGCGTAAAAAACTTGTCCTATTTTTTGAAAATGTTGCCACTGCGTCCTTCCGAATATGACCTATTTTTATCAAAACTTCAACTTTGGGCGACATGTTCTAAAATCCCAACGCTGGGATCATAAAACTGAAAGCAGTTTTGGAAACCTCAATATGTTTTCTATTTACTCCAAAAGAATTTTCCCAGCCATGAAAGAAATGTGGACCCTATGGGCAAAAAAGTAAAAAATCCCATTTTTGGGATTTTCATTCCTATTTTTGGGAATTACAGGATGCCCTTTGACCTTTTCAATTTTTTTTTTTTGCATTTTCTTATTTGAAATGACAAATTTAACAAGCGTTAAAAATTTCATTGAGTTTTGTTCATAAATAAAGATTTTGTCTTATATTATATATTTGTTAAATTTCTAAACCTATGATTTATATCAAAATTTTAATAGGGTCGCAGATAGCTACAACAATTTAGTCCATATTTATCCCTTAATATCTTTTTTAGTTAGATATGGAAATTCTCGACCCTTTACAAAAAATTTCAAGCCAATATCTCAATTACATTCAAAAATATGTTCATTTAAACCTGTGTCCTTTAATTTCATCTTTTTCATATTTTAGTATTAAGTATGACAGAACATACATTTGGTGTTGAATAAAATATTTGGACAATTTTTAAAAATTATTTAGTTAATTATTTTATTAAAGACTATAACATTGTATATACAATAAAAATATTATAATTTTATTATGAGCCACGCACAACAACACCTAAATCACCCCACACAAACCACCTTTCCCGCCCACCGAAACATAAAACACAATTTAATACAATATCATCAGTTAGTATAATAGCTATTTTTATTTGAACTGTTTATCTTAAACATAATACAATTAATTCTTACAACCTACTTATATAGTTAATTCCTAACACTACTTATTTTCTATATCGGTATACATATCCAGAAGGTAATATAAGTCCTTTAAATCTTCCTTGTTTTGAGATGATAGAGTTTCATAACAAATCCATCTTTTTCGCATAGTTGAAAGAACAGGATCAGAAGATAGAAGTAAACTATTAAAAATATCTTCATTCTGTGATTGCCTGAAGCATTTTCTTGAGCTGAGTAGTTGAACATGCTTAAAATCTCGATTCCTCGCTTCCTGGGCTTCTTCTGTTAACTCTCCAAGTGGAAGAATATTCGATTTAATTATTATTTGACCATGACACAATACTTTGTGTACTGTTGGTGTTAGTTCCCTCCATGGATACAGAGATACAAGTAATTTAGAAATTTCAGATGTATATTCCCCAAATCGATTTCCATTAATTTTATGTTTACTATTCAGTGCCATTAAAATAGTGTCAACTCTTCGAAGCAACTCCTTGTCGATTCCAGTTATTTTTGAAATAATTTCAAAATCACGAAAAAACCTTCTCGCCGTGTTACCGTCATTTGTACTACCGCAACTTGGAAGTGGTTTGTCGATGTTTAATCCCATCTGAACTTTAAATTCTTCTTGGATTCTGCTTTTTTCCGCAGCTCTCAGTTCTTTCAATTCTTCATTATTTTTTGTTGATTTAGTAAGATTCTCTGGCACACTTCTATATTTAAGGTCGTATGGTATGTGTAAAAAGTAATCCAAAAATCGTATTCTGGCATGAAGTGGTGAAATTCCGAAAGACAGGACTTCTTCATTAATACTTCTGCTTTTGTTTCTCATTACTTTTTGAGCTTTTTCTCATTACATATTGAGCATCTCCAGAAGGAAGAAGTTTCTGTTATGGCATTGCTGACCTTTCCATCAATCATTGTTAAGCTTAGCTGATATGATACGTTAATAGAGAATTCCTTTATTTTTATGCAAATGGGCTCCAGTGCATTTATTTCATCTTTTAAATATTCAACTAAATCTTTTGTTGTTTTCTTTGACTCCTTTATATATTCAAATCCAATGGGTCTACAAACATTTTTTGAACCCGGAGTTGTATTGATCCATATATCTTCAAATGAATTTCCGATGCTTGACGATGATGGATTAAGGGAATATTAACGAATTCGTAATGGCACTAATGATGACATAAATACACTTTTTTAGTCTGCTAATGTCCGACTTCCACAAGCTTGTTTGTATTCTGGAAGTGCTGATAAACCGTCACATCCCCACTTACACATAAAGACAACATCACAGTTATGAATTTTCCTTAGTTGGTCTTCTGAAAAGTCTGACACAATTCTTGATGCTGTGTTTTCGAGCAAAGATGATATATCAATACAAGCTTCCACATCATTAACAGCAATAGGTGATGGTAGGACAGTTTGTTTTTTTCCTGGATCGTAAGTGGATCCAAAGTAAAAAATTACGAATTGTCTACCTATTAACATTTAGGACTATATTACTATAACCTGTAATTCAGTCATTGATATTTCTTATTAGTGAATGAATCGAAATTATCATTACCTGTATATTTTTACCTACATGATCATAAACGAAACAGAACGAAATGATCTGTCGAAAAAATTTAGGTAAAAAATAGTTATAAAATTCTGAAAATTTAAGCATAATAGGACCTTTCAATTATAAGGATAAGCAAACAAATAAAAAATAGGTACATATAAGATTTAAATATGTTCTGTCATATTAATACTAAATATGAAAAATATGAAATTAAAGGATACAGGTTTAAATGAACATATTTTTGAATGTAATTGAGATATTGGCTTGAAATTTTTTGTAAAGGGTCGAGAATTTCCATATCTAACTAAAAAAAGATATTAAGGGATAAATATGGACTAAATTGTTTTAGCTATCTGCGACCCTATTAAAATTTTGATATAAATCATAGGTTTAGAAATTTAACAAATATGTAATATAAGACAAAATCTTTATTTATGAACAAAACTCAATGAAATTTTCAACGCTTGTTAAATTTGTCATTTCAAATAAGAAAATGCAAAAAAAAAATTTAAAAGGTCAAAGGGCATCCCGCAATTCCCAAAAATAGGAATGAAAATCCCAAAAATGGGATTTTTTACTTTTTTGCCCATAGGATCCACATTTCTTTCAGGGCTGGGAAAATACTTTTGGAGTAAATAGAAAACATATTGAGGTTTCCAAAACTGCTTTCAGTTTTATGATCCCAGCTTTGTGATTTTAGAACATGTCGCCCAAAGTTGAAGTTTTGATAAAAAATAGGTCATATTCGGGAAGGACGCAGTGGCAACATTTTCAAAAAATAGGACAAGTTTTTTACGCCAAAGCGTTCTGCGTAAAGATACCTTTTAGAAAACTATAAAATTGTTATATGTCCTTAAAGAAAAATTTTATTTTATTAATAAAAGAGTTAAGACACATTTTTGGCAAAAAAACGGCAAGAATCTAAAATTTTTTTGAATTTTTAAATTAAAAAACGTATATTTTTGGATCTGTAAATGATATTGATCTGATATTTTTGTATATTATTGGAATGATTTTGTTGTCTAACTAACAAGAAAAAATTGAGTCCATTTGGTCCAAAATTACGCCCGGTATTCAAAAAAAGGCGGACCAAGGTATGGTAAATTTTGTATCACTAAATTTTTAAATGCCTATAACTCGGATATTATAAGAGATAAGTAGTATGTTCAAGCATGTTTTTTCAAGATCTCGTCGAGCGCTTTCAGAAAATATAAAAATCTTTGTATTTGGGTGAAAAACAAAAAAATAGCACGAGTTTAAAAATTTTACATGTCGTAGGTACCCTACTTTGAGCCGCCACAGCGCCGTCCCTGGGGCATCTGCAGGGTTCATCTTCAAAACTTAAACTCGAATACTCCTTGGCTACGCTCACGCCAAATTTATCCCGATCGGATCAGCCGTTTAGAAATGCCAGATTTATTTCCAAAAAATTTCCATTCTGCCCCACTGTGTATTGGGGTTTACGAAAGTAGTACGAATATCCGCCACTGATTCCAAAGTTTGGAACCTTGATGTCAGAAAACCATCCATTTGTTTCCATGTTGGCAGCTCTGTACTATTTGGGAGTGATTGTTCCCATAAATTGAGAGTAGCTTCGGGTAGACACGTGGAACAAATGTAAACAAATATGATATCCCAACTTGCTGTATTAACTTTTAACAGAGATAAGTTTGTAACACAATCATTTATCGTGCGCTGAATGAGACGAATGCTACTAGCCGTTTCTTTCGATGTAGGAGATATGTTAAAAAGCGTTTTAAGCTGTGCGTTTATAAGAATTCGCTTATTTTCGTACCGATCGACGAGGTTCTGCCAGGCCATTTCAAACCCGTCGTTAGTTATCGGACATGTTTTCA